ATAAAATGACAGCCTTTTCATTTCTGCCCTGCCTGTATCCCAGATACATCACCTTGTGAATACCAGATACTTATATCCCAGCTGGTTGTAAACATTTATGTATAATCTAATGTAGAACCTGTGATCAGTATTACTTACCAACAGCCTTCATAAAACAAGATACTTTTACTACACAGAATAAGATATTAGAGAAAAGCTGACTTTAAAGCAATATGCTTCCATGAACCATTATTTCATGCAAAATACACAAAGTAGTCCCTGCTGTTTTGGTCTTGCATGCTTGTTGGATGTGAACAAGAATGCCTTGACAGAACATGATGTCCAATAGCTTTGGTATTTGACCTGGGACACCCATGTGAAATATATTCACACACAGAAGTGTCTCACACTGTTCCAAATGAAGGCAGGTATCTAACTACAAAATGCTAATGAAGGGACGTTAAGGGTGTCTGGGAAATCATGACACAACGCTTCCCACGCAACTATCTGTGGTCCAGTGGAACACTGTCCCCATGGTACAGCAGCACACACAACCAGTGCTGCTGTTGCTGGAAAGTATCATTTGACCCTTTTCCTAAACCTCCATCTTGCACAAAGTAAACTTTACCACTAAGCCACAGGAGGAAAACAGCAGCTGTGACACCATCAAATGCTTGTGGGGTGACTTCAAAGCTCTGGTTCTGCCAGAAATCCTTCTTATTTGAGAGTGGGGAAAGCCTACAACTACATGTCTTCATTTGCAGTGCTGGTTTACTATATATTTAAGACATGGTTCATTTTTTTCCCCTGTGTTTGGAAGCCATCTACAGGATGTGCTCATAAATATATTTTCCCTTTGTCTGCCTTTGTGCTACATGGAGAGACACAACAGTGTGGGTTCATTTCTAAACTGAGATGTCATGATGGCCCTTTTTTCTTCCTGATATGCACAGGTGTGTGAGCAACTCAGCTGGAGACTTGGGGCTGAACTCTCTTCTCAACATGGGTGTACATCTATTGTAACTCCCCCAATATCAGTTCACTGATATTGTAATAGCTTATAAATGCATACTGTGTAAGTGCAGAAAATTGTATAGGCAGAAGAGACCAGAATTAAACCCAATTTAATTTTGCAGTACAGCTCCATTCTTTCTGTCCCAGTTGTGAATCTCAACAACCAGGACTGCAGGTTTCCAAACTTTGGAGTTACTAACATTCACTAAAACCTATGTGTATTGCAGTACTTCACTCACTCTTGTACAGACAGAAAATGAGCTTTGCTATGCAGAAGCAAAGTGAGTAAACTGCGCAAATACACTTAGATAACAATTCTTATCACTGAAAATCAGTAAATACAAATTTAGTGATTCAAGGCCTTACCTGAAGTGGGCTTTGGCATAGAAAAAACACTCCGCTCATTATTTCATGCTATGTTATAAAATGGATATTAAAACCTATGAATACCACACAAGAAAAGTAAAACAAAAAAGATTGCCACGTATTTGCTGTTTTAACATACTTCCCTTTATATTACTACATTTGCCAAACTGCAGCTAAACCCTGTGTCATGGATTGACCCAAGCCAGCAGCCAAGCACCCACACAGCCACTTGCTTACTGCCCTCCATCCCCAAAGGGATGGGGGAGAAGATAGGAAGAGCAAAAGGAAAAATAAAGTGAGTTGAGATAAAGGCAGTTTAAGAGGTAAAAGAAAGAGGAAAAAAACAAGCAATGCAAAAGCAATCACTCACCATCTCACACAAGCAGTCCAATGCCCAGCCAATCCCTGAGCAACAGACACCTTGCAAGCAAAAAAAACCCCACCACCCCTTCTTCCTCTACCCCAGTCTTTATTGCTGACGTGATGTTATATGGTATGGAATATCCCTTTGGACAGTTTGGGTCAGCTGTCCTGGTTGTGTCCCCTCCCAGCTTCTTGTCCACCCCCAACCTACTTGCTGGGGACAGGGGCAGAGTGGGAAAAAGAGAAAGCCTCAGTGCTGTGCAGGCACTGTTCAGCAACAGCCAAAATATTAGTGTTATCATCACTGTTTTAGCCAGAAATCCAAAAGACCACCATAAATGCTGCTTTGAAGAAAGTTAACTCCATCCCAGTCACACTCAGTGCACCTCAGTACAGATATGAGACAGTTGCATCAATATATTCTGAAAATATGATTTGGAGGATATGGCACTTTAGAGGGAGTTTCATCCATTATGAAATTCTGGACTGAGAAAGCCTTTCCCCTCAGTGGACGCCCCTCTGTTGTTTAGTAAGATAATTTCCCACTCATCAGGCAGAGGGCTGTAGAACTGGCAGGATGAGAGATTACAGACTTAGAACAATCTTCCTCCAACGCCAAACATCTTATGGTCTTGAAGGAGTGTGTTTTTTCAGGCACATGTCAAACACCAGAGCTTTGGGGAAGAGTTTTCTTTGAAAGGTTTTCCAGTGATACTAAAAATAACCCCACCTTTTGCATCCATTGTTATTTTTAGAATGGCAAGTCAGACAAATGCAGGTGGAGGACATTTAGGTTCCTCGTGGTGGTAAATTACACCTCACTGTGCTTTTAGTTCATGGATGAAATACAACAGGCAAGAGACAAGACACGTGGCAAGATGTTCAAAATTGTTGAGTACCTAAGGCATCTTTCAAATCAGGATTCAAAAAGCCAGACCAGTTAAATGCTCTGAATACCTTTATTGCTGCCACACTATATGGTTCAAGAAACTACTACAGCATGGCACAGCTGAGGACAAAGGAGGTGCAGGCAACTTTTTGTGGTCAGACAGCACGTCACTGCAGGGTTTTTGGGTTCCCCCTGAAACATGCCCAGGCTTTGTCAGACAGACAGCTGGTGTCATTGTGAAGGTGTTCATGGCTTGGAGTTGCACAACAGGGAAACGAGATTTCTCTGGTGTAAGGGCACCTTACACCTGGTGTAAGGGACCCCTTACGGCACAACACTGATGAGCCTGCACTCCCTCAGGAGGTGCTGCATCACACTGCAAAGGCTCGCTGCCAAATCACAGTCAGGCAAAGACCATAACCCTCCAGGGCCCACCAGAGAGGAGAAGGACTTCTCTCCCCTGTGCTGAATGGGAAGACCAGCTACCTCTGCCCAGGGATAGCTTTTGTGACTCTACCCCTGTGGGAAGGGCTCTTGTCACTTCAGGGGTCCTTCCCAAAGGGGAGGCCTGGAGAGGGTACCTGAGGAGAAGAACGGGGGACAAATGCAGTTACATGTCTCCACGTCTGTTGTGGTTTAACCCCAGCCAGCAACTAAGCACCACACAGCTGCTCACTCACACCCCCCCCCAGTGGGATCGGGGACAGAATCAGAAGAGTAAAAGTAAGAAAACTCGTG